TGTACAGTAGTGTGCAGGAGGAGTGTGTGTATTAACCCCTCTCATGATCACAGTACCTGAATCAAGCTCAGAACCTTGTCATGGACGATTTGCGGTGGGTTGTTTTTGGGCAAGATAGTCCGGACCAGAACCCCCTCCACAAAGTCCCTGCTCGCTACAAGGACATGAAACCGATGACCACAGTTCTTCACGCAAGACTCCAGCACCTGAGAGAGAGGAGTATCGATCACTCACAGTCAGGGCTACACACACACACACACACAGAGAGAGAGGAGTATTGGTTACTCACAGTCAGGGCTATACGCACGCACACACGCGCACACTCACACACACAGAGAGGAGTATTGGTCACTCACAGTCAGTGCTAACATGACTTCTCTGAAGTTCTTATTGCCTACAATTCTCTTCTTCAAGGCTCTGATGGCATCTTTTGGCCTGAATAAAAAACACAACACATTAGCAAAAGTAATCCTAACAGCAACACAAATGAATACTATAGGTACATGTGTTTGTGGGCCAGCGAGGGTGTGTGTGCATGTCAGTGTGTGTGTTGGCATGCTCACACGCATCTCCAAGCATGTCAATGCACGACTGACACCTCCGTGTGTCACACTCCCACCGATACAGCACACACTGACTTACTGCAGACACTGTGTGTGGAACTCTGGGCTCTGATAACACTGACAGTTGTGCTGACAGTGTTGATGACAGTTAATGTCGTGTGATGTCATACCCCTCCTCAGTCTCGTTGATGATGTCACAGATCTCCATGTTCAGCCCCCAGTCCTCAGACTGGAGAGTAGCACTCGTGGCATTTTCTGTCAACACAACAAAGACACTTCAAACACCCCACTCCTTATTTGCCCCACCCCTCATCACTGAGCCCACAGCCCACTCAGTCCAGTCCAGCCTGCTGTCAGTGTCAGTGGAGTCTGATTATAATCCCAGTGAAGAGCTAATCCAGCTCCCAGTCCAGTCCAGTATAGCCTGGAGTGTCTCAGACTGCTCTGTCACTGGAGTCTGATTATAATCTCAGTGAATAACTAATCCAGCTCCCAGTCCAGTCCAGTCCAGCCTGGAGAGTCTCAGACTGCTGTCTGTATCCCACTCAGGACCGAGGCCTAGTCTGATTCGTCACTGCCGCAACCCACTTAGGGAGCCCAGTGCAGACGGAGATGCCGGCCCGGTTCGGCCACGGAACCGCTCCCGTGACCCAGCTCATCCCGAAACCGGGGCCGGACCGTGCGGACCCAGCGAGATTATTCACATCTCCCGACTCACTTCTGCGGCAAAACAAAACAGCACAAAGCAACAGGGCTTTGGTCTGTAGTCGAGCCTGGTTCGGGTACTTTTTCGCTTTAACCGGGTTCATCTCGAACCGCAAAACTTCGCGTCTTTTTCGCCACTCCACTGCGACAGCTTCAAAAACTTTTCCGAGTACCGCCCCGTCGGTCCTCACGCCGCGCCGCGATTGGACAAGCGTCGAGTCACACAACTGGGTCGCACCAATCACGCCGAGGAGCTGTCTCACCAGAGCCCGCCCTCCGACTGTCATTGGTCGAGTCACACGCCGGTCACGAACTAACTCTTCCGTAAACTGTGAAGCCGAGCCTGGCCGAACCCGTCCGCCCTCGCTCGCTCCGAAACCCTCTCGGCCCAAGCCGCAGCCCCGCTGACCCGGGACTCGGCTGGGCGTCTGGCTCACCTATCCTCTGTCCCACCGGGGTGGCGTACGGGCTGCCAAGGAGAAAGTCCATCTCCTCCAGGCTGTGAAACTGACGGCCTCTGTCTACGGGAACCTGCGCTGGGGGGCGCGCACAAAAGCTGGCGGGGGCGCGCGGTCACGTGAGAGGCAGTCAGCTGAGAGGCGGCGCCCGCGGGAGGGGGGGGCAGGTTGCGTCACAGCCTCGTGAACCCTGTGTGTGGGAGGGGCTGTAGTTACACCCTTCTGCCCCCGGGGCTCAGTGACCACAGCCTGGCCAGAGACACTGGACACAGGCAGACCTGTCTGCCCAGAGAGGACAGGCTCAGTGACCACAGCCTGGACAGAGACACTGGACACAGGCAGACCTGGCTGTCCAGAGAGGACAGGCTCAGTGACCACAGCCTGGACAGAGACACTGGACACAGGCAGACCCGGCTGTCCAGAGAGGACAGGTTCAGTGACCACAGCCTGGCCAGAGACACTGGACACAGGCAGAGCTGGCTGTCCAGAAAGGACAGGCTCAGACTGTCTACCTCTTCTCCAGGCTCTATACACACAGTACAGAGCTGAGCTGTGGGTGTGGGGTCTCCCACTGTGTTTATACTGTATATGGACTATTTTGTTAACACTTGCATAATATGACGTGTGTGTAGCAGGGCATGTTCACAGTGCGCTCGTGAATCTGTGCTAGAGTGGCAGTCCGAGAACTTTCTGCACTCACAAGGATCTACCACTAGAGGTCTCTAGCCAGCCTCTAATTTTCCTGTCATCCTGGATGTCAAAGCAATTGATCAGGTTTTTACTGAAGGGAAACTTTCACACACAGGTTTGGTACATGAGGCCAGGAAAGCACAGGGGTGGCTGGGGTACTGATTGCTGTGTGTGTGTGCTGGACCGGTCAGTCCTGGGGTATTGATTGCTGTGTGTGTGCTGGACCGGTCAGTCCTGGGGTACTGATTGCTGTGTGTGTGTGTTAGATCGGTCAGTCCTGGGGTACTGATTGCTGTGTGTGTGTGCTGGACCGGTCAGTCCTGGGGTATTGATCCCTGTGTGCTGGACCGGTCAGTCCTGGGGTATTCCTCGTTGGGGGGAGACTGGGCTCAAGCCCCTGGACAATCAGATCGATAAGGAAGTCTGTAAAGGAGCTCCACTGACCAGCCTCATCATTATTGTGGTGATCATGCCGGATACCAGTACAGATCACGAATGACAATGAGACTTCGTACAGGGAGGAGCACTGTGCCAGGACAACAACCTCTCTCTGAACACCAGTAAGACCAAGGAGCTGATCAGAGAGCAGACCACGCTCCCATTGACACCAGGGGGTCTGCAGTGCAGAGGGTCTAGGTGTTAAGATCACAGAAGGCCTAACCTGGACCCACCACACCAGCCACGTAGCCCAGACAGCACGGCAGCGCCTGTTCTCTCTCCGCAGGTACAGTCGTTCGCCGTGCCGTCACATATCCAGGCCAGCTTCGACAGGTGCACTGCTGGGAGTATCCTGACTGGCTGCATCACTGCCTGGTCTGGGAGCTGCTCCGTCCCGGGATGGCAAAGCGCTGCAGAGGGTGGTTTAAGTCAGCGCGATGTGCTCCGGACAACGAGGATACCTGCTCTGTGAGAAGGCTAGGTCTATCCTCCAGGACCCCAGTCACCCCAACCACAATCTGTTCTCTCTACTACCATCTGGAAAACGATACTGCAGCTTACAGACAAACACCAACAGATTTCAAAACAGCTTTTTCCCTCAGGCAATAAGACTGCTGAGCAGCCACCAGCAGTTTCCCAAAGACTGCTGAGAAACAGTCAGTCCACTTGAGAGTGATAAGGTGTGCCCGCATTTTTCTTTCTTTCCCTGACACCTGCGCTCCCCACCAGGTGTTATCATCATGTAAATCTTGTCAATTGTATCATTTATTGTATTCTACTCTGTAACCTTAATTCTATCAGCTCCTGTCCTCTCTCTCCCTGCGAGCTTGCGGAAAAAGCAGTTCATTGCCAACAACCACTGCTGTATTGTTGTGCATTTGATAAATAAACCTTGATTGATTGATTAACAGTGACATTAAAGCAAATCCTGCAACAGAACACAGGAAACACAGCCCACAGCTCCACAGACCAGCCTAGGGGTTTTAAGCCACTTACTAGTTATCCACCATCACCCCCACCAACACCATCATCATCATCATCATCATGATTGCCACCTCTCTGTACTGCACCGTCAGTCAAACTCCTGCTCAGGACAGGAGTAGGGCTTTCCTCCAGTCCTGTCCTGAAGATGTCCGGTGTGCTTGTCCCTGTCCTGTCTGTCTCCTATCTCCATCACCCTCCTAGCAAGGCCACAGCCTCCTGCGCCTCTGTGTGCTGCGTCAGACAGCGGTTCCTCAGAACCAGAGCAGAGAAACCTGTTCCCTGCGGGCAGGAGGGAGGGACTCTGGAGCAGCTGTCTGTGTGATAACAGTCTCTCCCACACAGGCAGGAAGACTGAGCTCTGTACTGACTGCGTGACCTGTGACAGCGCAGGAGACACTGAGACTGGGAGATGGACAAGTCCACAACAGTCCTGCACCCCGGTGAGTCTCTGCTGTGTGAGTGTCTCTCTCTACACTGGACTCTGGTGAGTCTCTCTGCTGTGTGACTGTCTCTCTCTACACTGGACCCTGGAGAGTCTCTGCTGTGTGACTGTCTCTCTCTACACTGGAACCCAGTGAGTTTCTCT